GATTATAGCACAGGTGAGCGGTGGCTGACCAGGTGTGAGCCACTGCACCTGGTCTGGTTTTACTCTTGACAGAAGTGAAACTCACACCATGCATCAGAAACAAATATAATATTTGAGGACACCTTCAAATCAAACTTTTAAACTTCAGTCACTGACTATACCACAGAAAATGATTAACAGTGCAGATTAAATCTGAACATGGCAGATAAAGACAATTATAAAAAATTCTACTAAAGTTAAATGTGGCAGTGAAACACCTAAGAGCATGATAGCTAGGGCATAAAACTCTGTGGTGCTGCTGCTTCCCTTGGTATCCTAAACTCTTGCTTATGTTCATTAATGGTCAATCCAGGGCTGCTCTGGAGCTTTTGCATGAGCAACCATGAAAAGAGACAAGTAAATAACTGGGTAAATGTCAGACACATCTCACCCCTAATCAGACAAATTACTTTATGACATATTGAGTTTCTTCATAACATTTCATTTAAAAAACAGTTTCTTTGGCTTAAAAGAGTTCAAAAATCCTTCTTTTAAATTAGAGACCGATACGACATCATACTTAAGTGATGGGTGAAATAAGCTGAGTACCAGAACTAGCCTGTATATTGAGGCTCTACATCCCAATTTTAACACATTGACTGCCACACTAGAAAAAAATTTGTTTTCCTTGGGGCCACAGTGTTTTATTACAAAAATAGAATAAAAACTTTGAAAACAAAACGATCTTTTCTAATTTAATGAAAAATTCATTATTTTTTTATTGTTTTCTGTGCATGAGTTCTATGCAACTTGAAAAATAGTTCTCCCAAGGTAAAGAGATGGGTGAGTTACATATGCTTCATGAAACCCTGGGCTCAAAACTAGCATGAGTTAAATACAACTCACGTGGTGGTTAATGTGCTAAAGTATCTTTTATACCAAATATTACAAAGTGGTATACATTTATTAATGTGATGTACATGTAAATGACCATGAAGCAGTTAAATAGTAAAAATCACAGCAAGTCAAAGTTTCATTCAACAGTAGCAGTCTTAGCTCTGAATTTTCTTACCTTCTATTAAAAAAAGGCAACAGTGATATTAGATAAGAAAAAAACAGAGGTCCTTCAGAAAAAGCAGAGATGTTTTCAGTAACCATTCCCTTAAGATTGGGGTGTAATATGTAAGCAGTGGCTATTAGAGAATTGAAGAAAATTCATAGATGAGCATTTGTCAAACACGGTTGCTAGAAATGACAAAAACAGAGCACTGAACAGAGTTCTAAGCAATCCAAAGAGCCAGTCCCCTCTATCCAAGACAAAATTAAGCCAACACAGATAATGTAATTGAGGCTCATGAGCTACAGGAATTTCATGTGAGCTTAAAGTTATAACTACTATAACAGTAAGTGGTGAATACATTTAAAACTCAGCAGAATATCACTGGCAATAAACAAAACTATGAGTATAGAATGTAACTTTGACTCGATTTTAAGAATACAGTTATTTTTTTTTTTGAGACAGAGTCTCGCTTGTTGACCAGGCTAGAGTGAGTGCCGTGGCGTCAGCCTAGCTCACAGCAACCTCAAACTCCTGGGCTCAAGCAATCCTTCTGCCTCAGCCTCCCGAGTAGCTGGGACTACAGGCATGCACCACCATGCCCGGCTAATTTTCTATATATATTAGTTGGCCAATTAATTTCTTTCTATTTATAGTAGAGATGGGGTCTTGCTCTTGCTCAGGCTGGTTTCGAACTCCTGACCTCGAGCAATCCGCCCGCCTCAGCCTCCCAGAGTGCTAGGATTACAGGCGTGAGCCACCGCGCCCGGCTAAGAATACAGTTATTTTAAGTTTAACAACTGGCTACAGTATTTTGGATATTTTAATTTGGTACTGAATTTCCATGATAATTGAATAGGTGAAATCACTTGGAATATTCAAATGCATCTATATATTCCAATGACCTATAGAGTAAGAAATCATTCTTAGTTGTGTAGTTAACTTTTAAGTCCAATCCTCTTAATTGCTAACTGACTAAGCAATTGCAAGATCAAATTGCATAATTAGTACTAAAGAAAATACAAATATAATTATGCAAATAATATAGCATAGTGGGTAAGGGCAGGGACTTCCTTAATCTATATAAGGAAGATAAAAACAGTGCTCACTATAATAAAAGAACTATAAGGTACTATTATTTGGCACTATTAGGTTAATAATAGTACCTTTCACAGGTAATATCACAAGGTTGTTATAAGGATTAAATGAATTAATTTATGTAAAGCATTTAGAATAGTGCCTGACATATAGTAAGGGCTATGTATTGTTATGATCCATTGCATTCTGTCACTGTATTTATCAAATTTATCCTGTATAAATTAGGTTCTATTTTTAACAAAAATAGACTCTTGCACACCTTTGACTGCAAAGGTCATTGGAACGGAGCAGAGGTTCTTAAATGGAGCAGTACTGTCATTTAGGGAATATTCTAGAAATTTGTGAGGGGACTTTTGGGTTGTCACTATGATAGAGGAGAAAGGGACATCCTGATTCTGGCACACAATGGGCAGGGACAAACGATGCCAGATGTCTTATATTTTGCAGGGTTGTTCCACGTGACAAACGTATATAACTAGCAATTCTACTAGACTTTGTTAATCTACTTATGCTTTCCCACTAAGATAACTATTCATATTTCATATGCCTTCCCTGTTCTTAAACCTCTCATACCTTACCCAGTCTTAGCTAATAACCCTGACTTTTATTTCAATAAGAAAATAAAAGCAATCAATAAAGAAATTCTTCTCCTAACAACAAATTTTCAACCCACATATTCTGCCTTCCTTCTTACAGTAGATGACCTGCCCTGTCTTTTCTTTGAGACCAAATTCTCTACTTCTCTCCTGGATCCTATCTAAGCTTCCCTTAAGAATTTTACTCTTCCTACTCTCTGTCCTGAATTATCAGTTTCCTTGTCTACTCAATCATTCCTATCAACACACAACAGCTGTTTTTTTTTAAATCTCTGATCCTAAAAACAAAATAAAAAATGCCCCCTTGACATCACATATCCCTCATTTCTCTGCTTTACTCTTTATCAATAGTTATCTAATTCTTGGTGTTTCTATTTCCTGTCTTCCTATTCTTTGCTAAACCTACTCTATATCAGGCTTTCATTCCCATTATTACTCATTCTTATGAAGGTCATCAATAGCTTCAACATTACCAAATATGATAGTCAATTGTCAATCCTCTATTTAGTAACATTTGGCACAATTGATCTCATCTTTCTTCTTCAAACACATTGTGAGATATTACACTCTCCTGAGTGTAATATCTCAGTTACCTTTATTAGATCTTTAATTTCTTGAATGCTAAAAAAATATGCTAAAAGTGAAATTTTGGCCAGGAAAGCCTGATAAAATCTACAGTTGTGTTTAAAACTACAGTTGTATTTATTATATATCACTTATTCAGCCATTTAATTTGTTCAATAAATACTTATTCAGCATCTACTACATATCAGGCACTAGAAATATAGAAATGAAATGACCAATACCCTGTCTACATGGAGCTCACATTTTAGTGGGGGAGATAACTCATAAACAAGTAAATAGATATATACTCCAATGCCAGGCAAAAGTAAGTGTTATGAAGAAAAGCTGACTCAACAATTTTTCTTTGTCTTAGATACATTTTACAAAACTTTTTAAGGCTGGGCATGGTGGCTCATGGTGGCTCACACCTGGAATTCTAGCACTTTGGGAGGCTGAGATGGGAGGAGCCCAAGAGTTAGAGACCAGCTTGAGCAATAGTGAGACCTCATAGCTACAAAAAATAAAAAAATTAGCTGGGCATGTTGGTGTGCAACTATAGTCCCAGCTACTTGGGAGGCTGAGGCAGGAGGATCACTTGAGCCCAGGAGTTGGAGGCTGCAGTGAGATACGATAATGCCACTGCATTCTAGCCCAGGCAACAAAGTAAGACCCTGTCTCAAACAAAATAAAATAGAAATCTACAAAAGCTGAAGAAAAGAGGCTACTAAATTTGTTTATAAGAAGATTTTTTTTGTGCCTTTCAAGGAAACAGTTCAGTGCATTTAATATTCAAGAGCCCAATATAGTAAGTTACAGAGTAGGAAGGGTAGTAAAGAGGTAGCAACAATGGACATGAATAGAATATGAATTTAAGATGCCAGGAAAGAAGATAATAAAGAAGGCAAAAGATGTGGGTTAAATGAGGAAGCACAGTAGCAAAATAGGCAACAGTATTGAAGACTTGAAAGTACATGTTCAAGGGATTGTCCCTAAATAAGAACAGGGATACATCTTTATCTTGAAGAGAAAAGGAAGAAGGGAAGATGAATATAAGGAAATATTTTAGGGTAAAAAGTTATAAGGATGAGGGAAGTTGGCCTTATTCATGCTTTTAAATAATGGCTAATCAGCAAATCAACTTTCCAAAGGTCAATGATATCCAACAATAACTTATTCTGATACACAAAGCACAAGTGAACAATAAATTATGACGAAGTTATGTAAACATTCACATTAGAATCTACTTTCTCTTGATTCCTCTTAGTGCATATTTCTTCTTCCTACTTTTCATTCTACTTCCTGCTCTATCTCCCTCTCCCCCTATTTTCTCACATATTATCTACAGAAGTATATATTTTTTAGTATTAGTTATACTTAATGTGTAAAATTTAAAATCTTCCTTTTTCAAATATTAATTTTTTTCTTAGAAACTTTTAAGTTATTTTTCTGTGAATTTTAGGTCCTTTTTAAAAAAGATTTTTGGTTTTCCCAATTAACAGGTGTCTACCATTAAAGAAGAGTACATTTTTTTCTATTCCTTTATAATACTTACATTATATGGCTATTATTGACCTAAGATAAACACATACAAACAGGATTTTCATGACATGGCATGATTCATTTAAATATATAAATTTCCCACCAAATAATAAAACAATATTCTTTGGAGACAAAGTATTACAACTTATAATGTATGAAACACATACCTGAGTTAAACCAGCACCTGTTTGCAGAGAAGACTTTTTCAACAGTTTTACTTCTTTATTTATGTATCTTAGCATTCCACTAAGAGTACTAAAGTCATTATTTTCAGAACTATCATCTTCTAGGTTATATTTGAGAGGTTTAAATGAGTCTGACTGCATATAAGTCAGATCCTTATTGCTTTCTTCTAATGCTGAAGGCTGTTCTAATTGCATTTTCTTTAAGTCCTGCAGTAATTCTTCAGAAAGATCTTCATCATAACGAGTTTTGAAACTAAGGTCACTGGCACTAATAGAGCGACGTAGTTTTCTACACTTGAAAAAAGATGTGTAAGAATGTTGAGCAAACTTTGGATCTTGAATATCAGGCATAATTTCTGTTGGAGGTGTAAATGAGGCTGGTAGACACTTGATGTCTTCTGCCCTTTCATGTCCAGAAATTTTGGCTTGTAATCTGGTTAATTCTGATTCCTGTAGACAAATTGGTACATATTATAGTAGGTGCTTAATATATTTTTGTTAAATAAATGAACTACATAGAAAATCAGACTCTTAGAGGTGTAAGGCTGGTGGTGGGCCCCCCTCCCCTCCCTAGATCAAAAAGAAAAGGCTCATGAGACCAGACCCACCAAGGACAAACTGCCAGGCCCCGCTGAGAAAAACCATACCCAGATGTCCACCCAGATAAGAAAGTTTTGGCTCCTGGATTCCGCAAATGCTGCCAGCCCCTCCTATTTCTCAATGACCACCAAAGGTCACCCCGGCTCTTCCCACCAAAAGTTCCTGGCCCACCCCAAACAGTATAAAAGGCCACACCCCCTCTACACCTCCCCCCAAATGGATGTGACTTCTGGGGCCCTCCCTCTCTTGTGACCCAAGAACGTTGACTGGGAGCACATAATAAAGCCACGTTGTTTGGCCCCACTCTTTCTTTCTGTCTTTTTCCGTTGGAAAACTTTACATTTGGTGCTGAAACCTGGGAGGGGAGTATTGGCCGCTCTGGCCTGCCTCAGGGCTGTGGTCGTGCCGTCCCTTCTCATGTCTTCCTGACCTCGTACCGAGACCACCACGGGACTCCTGTCGACTTATTGGCCTGGGTAAATCCGTCTGCCCTTGTGGTCCCAGCCCAATGTGTCCATTCCAGGGTCTCTTTCATAAAACCTTGGGCCCAAGTCAGAGATCCTCCACCATAAGGACCTGAGTGTCTCAGGGATGCCTGACCTCCTCAGTCAGTCCTTCCATCCATGGACCTGAGTGTCTCGGGGATGCCAGAGCCCCTTAGTCAGTCCTTCCATCCATAAGGATCCATAAGGCCCTGAGTGGCTCAGGGACACCTGATCCTCTAAGTCAGTCCTTTCCAAGGCTCAGAGCCTTCTCTCCAAGGCCTGATCGGTGACCTGGTATGCCGGCTCCCCAATCTCATCCTTTCCTCATTGGACTAGGACACCATGGGCAGTCAACCCTTCAAAATCAAATCTAGCACACCTGTAGGCTGTCTCTTAGCCAGTCTTACAGCCCTGGGCCTCAAGCCTGATATTCAGCCCAAGTGACTCATTTTCTATTGTAATACTGGCTGGCTGATGTACAAATTAGACAACGGGTCACAGTGGCCTAAAAATGGGATTTTCGATTTCAACATCTTACAAGATCTCAATAACTTTTATCACCGAAATGGCAAATGGGGGGAGATCCCTTATGTCCAGGCTTTCTTCTACCTGCACTCTTGTCCTTCCTTCTGTCAGACCTGTGACCCCTCCTATCCTCCTTGCGAGGAGTCCTCCTCCGTCCTTGGCCTCTTCCACCTCTCAGCTGAAGGATCCATTAGAAACCTCTTCCACCTTTTCTGACCTGCCTGACTCCCTCACTTCTCCCCCTGGTCAGCCTACACCATATCTGAGTCCTCCTCCTCCTAGTGCCCCACCGTCCTCTGCTACTGCTCACACTGGCTCTCTGCCAACGTCCTCTGTCAGTCACCACACTCAATCCCATGTGGGACCCTCAGACCAAACTCTCCTCTGTCTCCTGCGAGAAGTAGCCAGTGCTGAAGGGGCCGTACGTGTATATGTTCCCTTCTCCCTTTCTCATCTCTCTCAGATTGAAAAGCATTTAGGCTCTTTCTCTAATGACCCCACGGCCTACACCAAAGAATTCTGCTGTCTTACACAAGCATATGATTTGACCTGGCATGACATTTTTGTTATTCTGGCTTCTACTCTTACTACTGACGAAAAGAAACGTGTCTGGACAGCAGCTCAGGTACATGCCAACCAAGTCCATCTAACGGACCACCATGCGGGTGGGGGGCCGAGGCTGTCTCACGCAATGAGCCAGGGTGGGAATACTAGCTAGATACCCCCGCCAGCCGAGATAGTAGAACCCACCGAGATTGCTGCTGCAATGCATTCTTGCTGGCCTCCAGGCCGCTGCCTATCGGGCCGTTAATTATGATAAAGCTTAGAGAAATCACTCAGAAGACAGATGAAAACCCCGCGGCCTTCCTCAGCCACCTTATGGATGCTCTCATCCCATATACCCCCTTAGACCCTACTTCCCCAGCAGGGGCACCGTCCTTGCAACTCACCACCCAGTCCTCCTCCGACATTAGACGCAAACTTAAAAAGGCAGAAAAAGGCCCTCAGACCCCTATCTGAGACCTGGTAAACATGGCATTTAAAATCTTTAATTCCAGAGATAAACAGGCAGAAGCCCAAAGGGAAGCCCGTGTCCACCAAAAGGCACACCTACAAGCCCAAGCCTTGGTTGCAGCCCTACAGCAGGTGGGGCCTGAAAAGCCATTGACCTCGTCTAAAGCAACCAGCTGCACTCTGCTGGGCACCTGCTTCAAGTGTGGTAAGAAAGGGCCAATCAGTGCCCACAGCCACGTCAGCCCACTAAACTCTGTCCAGCCTATGGTCAAGAGAGACACTAGAAGAATGATTGCCCCTTGGGACAAATGTCCAGAGGGTCAGTCCTTCTACCCCTAGACCTGCCGTTGACGATTTTGGGCTTGGCTGCAGAAGACTGACGAAGCCCCGGCTCTGCGACCCCCATCACCCTTGCCGAGTCCAGGGTAACAATCAAGGTAGCGGGTAAGACCGTGTCCTTTCTGGTTGACAGAGGGGCTACATACTCTGTCCTGCCTTCTTTTTCAGGCCCTACTTATCCTTCCCAGGTGTCGGTCATGGGTATTGATGGCAATCCCTCTCAGCCCCCCACCACCAGTCCTCTGAAATGTCTTATAGACCACCGTCCTATCACACACTCCTTCCTTATCATGCCCTCCTGTCCCGTTCCACTTTTAGGAAGGGACTTATTAGCCAAATTAGGCACCATACTCCACTTTTCCTCAGGAACATCCGCCCTTCTCCTTCTATCCTTCTCTTCAGATTCCTCACCCCCACATCCCTGGATCTCATTGTTGACCATCAACGGGCTCTTCATGATCTCCAAATACCCACGACCACTAAACAAATTCACCTTCCTCGGGTTCGTTGGTTTCTTCTGACACTGGATCCCCAACTTTTCTCTCCTTGCTAAACCCCTCTATGAGGCAGCCCGTGATGCCTCTGCTGGCCTTTTACTAAACTCCCAAGCTGTCTGCCGCACGTTTCTAAAACTTCATGACACTCTACTCCAGACACCACCTCTAAGACCCCTTCATCCTAAAAAATCCTTTTACCTCTACACAGATGAGCGCCAGGGCCTGGCCCTCAGTCTCCTTGCCCAGACTTTAGCCTCCTGGAACCCACCCACCTGTACTCCAGTGGCTTATTTACCCAAACAACTAGATACCAAGGTTCGCAGCTGGCCACCTTGCCCTCGGGCACTGGGCGCAGCAGCCTCTTTCACCAGGGAAGCACTAAAGCTTTCCCTAGGACAGGATCTACATGTCTTTTCTACCCTCGCCTTCCTAAACTTCTCAGCTCTAGTCCTTAATATCTCCCACTGTTTCCTCTATGCCTCCCTTCAGTGACCCCTGCTAGCTGCTGTCCCTCTAAACTATTCTAAACCCCAAACGACTCCCTCATCGGCTCCCTCATGCTCCACTCCGCTCACTCGCATTCCCCTTTAGGAACCTGAGCCTATAGGCCAACCCTATACAGATCGCGTGTGCTTTTTCACCTCCCACACTGACCCCAACCTACAACTTCATGGACACTGCCTTACCAACCATACTGTGACCAAAACCACTTCCTCTGCTCTGGGACAATTCTTCTGATCCAACAGAACACTCACTTGCTGCATGAATACATCTACCCCGGGTCCTTGTTTCCCTGTCATGATGGTCCCTCAATTAACTCTATATGGTGACTCTGAATTCAGATGGCTTCTCCTAGGGCCCCAGCCGAGACAAGCCATCTTTCTACCTGTCATGGTGGGTCTCGGCCTGGCCTCTTCCATTGCACCCTCAGGGCTCACAGGAGGTGACCTTGGCCACAGTGTCGTTTCTGCCTAAGATTTTGCAGATCACCTACAAATCACCCTGGAAATCACTTCTTCCTCGCTGCTGGCCTCACTACAAAGACAACTAACGTCATTGGCTCAGGTAACTCTCCAAAATCAAAGAGCATTAGATCAGCTGATGGCTGAAAAAGAAGGAACCTGCCTTTTCCTTCGTGAAGAATACTACTACGTCAACGAGTCGGGCCTTACAGAACAGAACATAGACAAACTCATCAACCTGAGTAAAGACGTACACAACCGCTGCCGCCAGAATGTATGCCCCTTCAGCTGGATACAATCCCCTTTGGCTACCTACCTATTACCACTAATAGGACCCACTGTCATCATCTGCCTAACCTTTCTCTTTGCTCCCTGTTTTTTACAGTTCCCCCAGCACCGCCTACAGAGCTGTTACGAGTGACAGTAAACCAACTACTTCATCCGTACTCCCCACCACCAACTACCCCTCCACCAGCCAACCCTAGCCTATAGCACCTAACTACGCCCCCTCCTAGCAGGAAGTAGTCAGAAAGAGTGGCGCCCATCATAACCAAAAGGCCGAATGTAAGGCTGGTGGCAGGGCCTCCCCTCCCCTCTCTAGATCAAAAGAAAAGGCTCATGAGACCAGACCCACCAAGGATAAACTACCAGGCCCCGCTGAGAAAAACCAAACCCAGATGTCCACCAGCCCCTCCTATTTCTCAATGACCACCAAAGGTCACCACAGCTCTTCCCACCAAAAGTTCCTGGTCCACCCCAAACAGTATAAAAGGCCACACCCCTTCCAAACAGATGTGACTTCTCGGCCCCCCCTTGGGACCCAAGAACCTCGTCTGGGAATGCATAATAAAGCCACATTGTTTGGCCCCACTCTTTTTCCCTCTCTGTCTGTTTCTTTCACCACCGGAAAACTTTACAAGAGGTTATCTAAGTCAACTTTTGTCCCAGTATAGGAATTCTTTTTATAATTCCTGAGACTTTCCAAGCTCTATTTAAACTCTTTATTATTTAAGATAGCTTCGCTTTGGAACAACACATATGTTCATTTGAAATATGATTAAAGTAGTCTAAGGTATTCCATGAAAACTAGATTTTCCTTAAGGAATTTTCTTAGTGTTAATTACAATATCAATTTCTATTCAAGATTGAAATCTTACATCTAAAAACTTCTCTGCAAAAGTATAAAGGTACACTATCTTTTGTTAATCTGATACATACATGACACAAAAAGACTTCCTTCAGAATTTCTAACAGGAAATAAATGTATATTAGCTATCTGTTTTATATATCCTCCTTATAAGAAAGTTTTATTATACTAGAAATTTTTCAAAGAGAAAACTCTAATAAAGTGATTAATAATATTTAATAAATCAATGCTTATTTAAATAAATTTTTCATTTTTATTATTTTTCCATATCTTTCATTTGAGTTCTCTGACTCAACTTTGGGATCCTAGGAATGAGAATGCATACACTAAAAAACTAAAAAAAATGAAGAGATGACATTTTCGTTTTAATAGCTAAATAATATAAACATAGTAGTCTCCTATTCAAATACATTCTTGTTTTCTTAAAGGTATCCATAAGATATATATTTTTAAATCAGTCACTTTTAATCTGATAGTTTCTGTTCTTAAGTTTGGTGTCTAAAAGTACTGTATTTATAACTAAAACTGTCATAACCACAGAGTGCATTACAAAATGGAAGTTTAACATGCATATTTCAATTCTTTCATATCATCATATCACTTTATCTAGATAAACTTAATTTATATTATTTATAAGTGGCTAGAGTGTTAATGTTTTGTAGTAAACTCTACATTCACATTCTTATAATCATGATTAATAAAGTAGTTATAGGCCATGCGAAGTGGCTCACGCCTGTAATCCTAGCACTCTCGGAGGCCCAGGCGGGCGGATCGTTTGAGCTCAGGAGTTCCAGACCAGCCTGAGCAAGAGTGAGACACCGTGTCTACTAAAAATAGAAAGAAATTAACTGGACAACTAAAAATATATAGAAAACAAACAGCTGGGCATGGTGGCACATGCCTGTAGTCCCAGCTACCCAGGAGGTTGAGGCAGGAGGATCGCTTTGAGCCCAGGAATTTGAAGTTGCTGTAAGCTGGGCTGATGCCACAGCACTCTAGCCAGGGAAACAAGAGTGAGACTCTGTCTCTAAATAAATAAATAAATAAATAAATAAATAAATAAATAAACTAGTTATGGCGTTGACATAGAATAGGGTCATGTACAGCTAGAGTTATTTTTTTCACCTCTTATGCACTATCTAGCCATAATTGAGATGTGGTATCTTAGGTGAGTATTATAAGATTCCATTTAACTTACAGTTTACACATAACTTTTATAATGTAGTATACTGAATACATTAAACATAATTCAATATTTTCTTAGGACTCAAAGAAGCTCATTATTGTGACCCTATATTATTACATAATGATGCCTTCAGGGCTCTCAGAAAATGGTCTTTGCCCTTGTCCCAGTTACCCTAAAAAATTAGGGTACTAGTTAGGGTACTACAGAAAGTGAACTTTGCCTCAAACACTGTTCTTTCTTCTCCTCACTTCTGATTTTGTTCTCTTTCATTTACTGAGGCTGTGAATGAAACTGCTTTCTATTATTTATAACTACTTCTAATCATTACAGTTATGCCTGCTTCAATAGAAGTTATGCCTCTTCTATTAGCCTCTCTCCATTTCTCTCTCTTGTCTTCCCCAACTCCTGTTCAGTCTAGACTTTAGTGCCAGTTGATACTGACTTTGAGAGCTCCTGTCAAACAATGCAGAAATTCTACTTTCTGACTGGTATATTGGCTATTCCCAGTACATGTTCTAAGATTTCTATATCTATGGTTCATTTAAGAACTGTTGCTATTTAGCCAGTATTTTAGTAATTTTCTAAGTAGTTGAACTTAAAGATCTTCTGAATAATTGATACGTGCAATCTAATTGTATTTGTCTCATTGGTAGTATCCAACAAGTGAGTAGCAGAGACAACTACTGTGACAAAGAATACAATGTAGAATGTTAATTTTTCAGGGTCAATTTTTCACAATGAAGCTTTGTAATTTTGTACAAATGCTGTAAACCTCCAGAACACTAAGAATATTTTCATAAAAGCATTAATAGAGTACTCAACCTAAATATTAAAATTTTAGCCTATGTCTATTCAGCTTTTCTCTGGTACTGTGACTATCAAAGGAATTTAAGTGCTCAGCTTAGTAACTAGAAATATTCCTAACATTAATTGGTCGAGTTTTTTTCATTTTCAATACCTTCCATTTTGCTATAAAATCACTTACTGCTTCATAACTATCTGTTCTTTTTTAAGGGCTTCACAGATAATTTTACCCTGTATACTGGCAATTTTTAACCAATGTTAACTTTTTTAATCTCTATGCATCGATACTAATATTAATTTCAAATTGTAGATAAAACTGCCATGATCAATAGAGGTGAATAAGTAGCAATAGGCTATTTTAAAAATGATGTTTCTTGAACACCATAGTTTTAGGCTAAAGAAAAAAAATAAAAAAAAAATTAAAAAAAAAATTAAAAATAAAAATGATGTTTATATTAAAATGCAGGAAAAAATTCTGAATATAATAATTTGTGTTTTCTACTTAATGATTTTTAAAGGAACTTTACTGATTTTGAGAAATGCTTCTACTTTTTAGGTACATCAAGCATAAAACCCTCTAGAGCAAATATTACAATTAGATGAGTTTATATTTGAACATTTATAAATTAGTTCTTCTATGGTAATATGATGTATATCTTATCAATAATTTCCCAAATTCATTTTATTTATGTAAATAAAATGCTTTTTAATTCAAACAGGTCAATAGTTGGTCATACAGTCCTCTACATGCTGCAAGGTCAGGAAAAATAAGCCATACATTTACTTTTTCATAGGTAAGATTTCTTGCTTTTATATGTTTACTTACTTTAATAAGTAATGCTTCATTTGCAGCTTCAATTACTTCATTCCTGTCTTGGACTTGTTGATGTAAACTGCTTACAGTGTCCTGAGCTTCTTCTAATTCCAGTTTTGCCTTCTCTAATTGTTCATTTAGCTGCTGAACAGAAGTCTTTTGAGAGTCAGCAGAAATTTTCCACTTTGCATGGTTCTCTTGATGTGAAATCATCTATACAGTCCCGAAAAGGAAAAAAAGAAATAGAAAATAGATTGGAATTGGTGTCAACAACATTCTAATAATTTCCATTTTCACTTACTTTTTCTTTAAAGAATATAAATTCTGTTTAAAGCTACAAACATCTGATTTCTCTACAAATAAAATACTGAACAGAAAAAGGGAGAAAAGGAACATACAATCTTAAATTTATTTAAGAACAGTTAACCAAATGCAATGGACTCTATTTAGATCCTAATTTGAACAAATAGATTATAAAGACATTTTTGAGGCAACTGGGGAAAATCTGAACAACTAGATATTTGATTATATTAAGGAATCACTGTTAATTTTTAGATGTAATAATGGTATATGGTTATGTGTTTTAAAAATTGCCCTTATCTTTTAGAGAGACTTATTGAAATGTTTTACAGAATAAATAATGATGTCTGGAATTTGCTCCAAAATAACATATGGATATGGGGGGGACAGTAGGAAAGGAAATAAGTGAGGTTGAAGATATACTGACCATGTTTTCTGGTATGCCTAGTTTTATGCCTGGTTTCCTGATATAATTCCTAATAGCATTCTTTTTCATTCTCAAAAGGATTCCCTTCTAGATAAGAGAAAATGATCAATGTATTTATGGATGAAATAAAATTGGCCAAGAGTTGATAATTATTAAACATCAAAAATAAATCTAGCCCCTTCTACGTGATCACGCTGAGCTAGCACCCGGGCCTGGAATAGGGCCGCAGCCTCCTCAGTCGCATCCTCTGCCTTGTGACCATGGACCCCTGCAAAGTGAGCGAGCTTCGGGCCTTCATGAAAATATGTAAGCAGGATCCGAGCATTCTGCACACCGAGGAAATGTGCTTCCTGAGGGAGTGGGTGGAGAGCATGGGGGGTAAGGTACCACCTCCTACTCAGAAAGCTAAATCAGAAGAAAATATTAAGGAAGAAAAAACAGATAGTGAGAAGGCAGAGGAAAACATACAGACAGAGGAACCATCAAGTGAGGAAAGTGATCTAGAAATTGATAATGAAGGTGTGATTGAATCAGACACTGGTGCCCCGCAAGAAATGGGAGATGAAAACCGAAGAGATGATGGATCAGGCAAATGATAAGAAAGTTGCAGCCATTGAAGCCCTAAATGATGGTGAACTACAGAAAGCCATTGACTTGTTCACAGATGCCATCAAGCTGAATCCTCGGTTGGCCATTTTGTATGCCAAGAGAGCCAGTGTCTTCATCAAACTATAGAAGCCAAATGCTGGCATCCGAGATTGTGATAGAGCCATTGAAATAAATCCTGATTCAGCTCAGCCTTACAAGTGGAGAGGGAAAGCACACAGACTTCTGGGCCACTGGGAAGAAGCAGCCCATAATCTTGCCCTTGCCTGTAAACTGGATTATGATGAAGATGTTAGTGCAATGCTGAAAGAAGTTCAACCTAGGGCCCAGAAAATTGAAGAATATTTGCGAAAGTATGAGCGCAAAGGTGAAGAACGAGAGATCAAAGAAAGAATAGAAATGGTTAAGAAGGCTCAAGAAGAGCATGAGAGAGCCCAAAGGGAGGAAGAAGCCAGAGGACAATCAGGAGCTCAGTACAGCTCTACAGCTCTTTTCCGGGTGGCTTTCCTGGGGGAATGCCAGGTAGTTTTCCTGGAGGAATGCCTGGAATGGGAGGAGGCATGCCTGGAATGGCAGGAATGCCTGGACTCAATGAAATTCTTAGTGATCCAGAGGTTCTTGCAGCCATGCAGGATCCAGAAGTTATGGTGGCTTTCCAGGATGTGGCCCAGAACCCAGCAAATATGTCAAAATACCAGAGCAACCCAAAGGTTATGCATCTCATCAATAAATTGTCAGCCAAATTTGGAGGTCAAGCGTGATGCCCTTCCAGCAAACAAAGCCCATGCTGAAGGAAAAGGAACCTATATCACCTAATGGATGTCACAATAATACAAACTGGTGTACCTCTAACCTTCTCATCAAGAGAGCTGGAGTGCTTTGAAGATAATCCCTACCCCTCTGCCCCAGATGCAGCTGAAGCATTTTGCAGTGGTTTGCCATTAGGGTATTCATTCAGATAATGTTTTCCAACTAGAAATTACAATCTTTAGACACTTTTTAAACCTTAAAAATATTTAAAACTAATTAAAAGGGTATGTTAATTTCTACATTTTTCTTACTAATCATTTTGGATTTTTTTCCTTTGAATTACTGGGCAACGGAAGATACTTACATGGGAGGTTATTGCTCTAGTTTGAGTAAAATAAAAGTTTATTGGTGGGGGCAAATATAATTCATTTAAATAGATAAAGTTTGAGTTGGATATATGGTTACCGAGGCATTTTAATTTGTCTTTTTAAATGCTTTATTTAAAAGAAAACGATTTATTTTGATAAAACTATTGGGACCACCATTATTTCAGTAGGACCTGGGTAGGGACTGGAAGTACTTAGCAGGGCAGCAGCAGTCTTGCTGTGTTTTATATAATAACATGCACCCTTATGCAGGTTGAATCTTACACTGTGGTGAAGGGATGATTTTTTTTTTTTTGTAATGCTGCAGTAGAGTTGGATTACTTGCTCTGTTCTTGTCCAATATATCAAACAAATGTTTCATATTATTTCCACAGAGCAGAAATAAGGAAGTAATTTTCTTTTTATATTTCTATGTTTAAAATTTCCTTTCCTGTTAAAAAATGCCCAACTCTATGTCCACTTTCTGCTTGTTACCTTTTTTTCTCCTTAATCTTCTTGAGTTAAAGATAGTTTTTTTTAACTAGCATCCTCACTGCTATTATCATTCATAGCATAATTATACAAGCATATTTAATGCTGGGTTTAATTTAATATGTAATACATATGGTGACTATAGGGTAATACCCATAACAACTGTAGTTTCTCACTTGACCTTGAGATTACTTATTTAAGTCATAGACTTTCACTCTGGCAAAATCTTGTCATATCAAAAGACATTAGAGGGTGAGATTCCCTTTGTGTTTGGAAATATCGTCTACTTGGAAATACGTATTGCAGTTAGAGTTTTATCTCGCAGTATTTGTCTTTGTATTTTGAAGAGAATAAGATTTGAAAACTGATATACATAGAGAAGAACCTGGGTTTTTGCTCTAGCATGACTTATAAAATAGATGAGATATCCACAGTTATGCATTGTGGAGTTGCAACTGTGAAGATTCGTTGTCTTCCTGTTTGGGTCTTCCTTAAATAGTGTAGCCGTAACCCCACCTCTGCTTTCTTTCCCTCTCACCACTGCAAGGATAAAGAAAACGATAAATTTTCTGACATGCAACCAATTCTTATCTTAAATAAGACTGAGTATATAGGCTTTGTTCCTGATATTGCTATGTTTCTACCTAGTTTTCCATTTAAAGTGCTAGTGTTCAAAAGCAATTTCAAGGAATGAGACCTGTACTTTGCTTATGTGAGGAATCAGTGGTAGGAGCAATGAAGTAAATTCTATGGAGTAGATTTCTAAATTAGCATATTTCTGAAATCATAAATAAGTTTATTCAGTTTCTAACCGTTTGTTGTACACAAGTAGACAGAATTCATCTGTTATATAAATGAGAAAAAGCTGTATGCTTTAAATCCTTTGAAAATACCATATAAACTTGAATTTGAGTTTGCACGTTATTTTTGTTACTGTGTGTTCTACTTTCCCAAAATTTCCAATGTGTGTCATGTTTAACCCAAGAAGAACAGTTTTCTTCTGGATTCTTCATTTGATTTACTCAACTATACTTTACCTAATTATATTTCTAACATTGCATATATTACCATAAATGGGTAAAAGTAAAATTGTTCTTCCGGAAAATAAATAAATAAATAAAGTAAGTAAGTAAGTAAATCTAGGCGGGGCACCGTGGCTCACGCCTGTAATCCTAGCTCTCTGGGAGGCCGAGGCAGGAGGATTGCTCAAGGTCAGGAGTTGGAAACCAGCCTGAGAAAGAGCCCCCATCTCTACTATAAATAGAAAGAAATTAATTGGCCAACTAATATATATATAAAAAAAAAAATTAGCCGGGCATAGTGGCGCATGCCTGTAGTCCCAGCTACTCGGAGGGGCTGAGGCAGGAGGATCCCTTGAGCCCAGGAGATTGAGGATGCTGTGAGCTAGGCTGACGCTATGGCGCTCACTCTAGCCTGGGCAACAAAGTGAGACTCTGTCTCAAAACAAACAAACAAACAAATAAACAAATAAATAAATCTAGGAGGATTTATACTATTATACTATTATACTTTTAAATATGTTTAAGATTTTCCATAATAAAAGGTTACTGTGGAAATAACCTTTCTATAGCCAATCTCATTTTCTCAAAAAAATCAGGAGTTTTGTATTAAGTGAATTTTCTGACAATTTTGAAACCTGTGTTTTAAAAAAGTACTGTTAAAAACAACTGATTCCTTTTTCTAACTCTCTATTACTTTAATAACATATCCTCTCATTTTTATGTTCAAACAACACATACCCTTTAAAAACAGATCTTTGTCAACTGCCAACAAGGAAAACTTACATATTTCTGTATCATATATAAATATATTAGTACCAAATATTAAATAGCAATATTAAATATTAAACAGTGTTGGTGGCATGTGCCTATAGTCCTACTCAGGAAGCTAATGTGGGAGGATAGCTTGAGCCTAGAAGTTCAAGGCCAGCCTGAGTAACATAGTGAGACCTCGCTACTTAAAAAAAAATAAAAGCAGTACTAGAACCAATCTTTACACTTAATTTTATGTACTATCTGTTTATAAATAATTTCAAATGATTCATAAAACTAAAAAAGTAAAACATGACATAATTACAGATAAAAACTGAACAGAGGCGCTATAATAAAAGTATAATGAGTAGTTAAGGCAAACACTTGAGATGACCTAATTATTGATGGTCACTAAGTTGAACTGCTTACTCATGAGGCTGAGGCAGGATTGCTAGAGCCCAGGGGTTCCAGGCTGCAATGAGTTATGACTGTGCCACTGCACTTCAGCCTGGGTGACAAAGGAAGACCCTGTCTTAAAAAAAAAAAAAAGGAAGAAAGAAAGAAAGAAAAAGAAAAAAAATGTTGAGCTGCTAATATCAATTATATAACTGTGCTGAGGCCAACAGTCTTCACATTTGTCTCCAAACACCAAGAGTTGTAAATTCTTGGCCGGAGGATAAGATTTAGCTTGCTAATGTGTTTTGTTTGGCAAGCACAATGCGTTCAAAGAGATCTGAATCTAAATGCATTTAAGCAAGACATGGTCACCACAAGTTCCATCAATCCCTCACAAAAATGTTACCAAATTCCCTTGAATAGAGTTTAACATAAATGTATTTGCAACAGTTGTCATATTAGAAAAATGCTTTATTAGCATTAAACTCAATAAGAAATTTATTTAGATCATATACAAAGATTTTGGGTAATATCTTCAAATGTTTTTACAAAGACAAAAAAATGCTATTCTAACTGATAAGACTGCCCATTTCTATGATGCCTCAAGACATACCAATAGATAAAAAGGTTCTGGCATTGCCTCTCTGTCTAACTTACTGAATATTGGAAAATGCAAAGCATATAGATTCACATCACATGAAACTGTTTATATCAGTTATTAAATACCTTAAGATTTTTGCAAGTGCTATTTTATAATCTACATATTAAATCATTTAATCCTCACTTCAGTTCTACAAAATAGAAACCATTATTATTATTTTTTGAGACAGAGTCTCGCTTTGTTGCCCACGCTAGAGTGAGTGCTGTGGTATCAGCCTAGCTTACAGCAACCTCAAACTCCTGGGCTCAAGCAATCCTGCTGCCTCAGCTGGGATGTGCCACCATGCCCGGCTAATTTTTTTTCTATATATATTAGTTGGCCAATTAATTTCTTTCTATTTATAGTAGAGACAGGGTCTCGCTCTTGCTCAGGCTGGTTTCGAACTCCTGACCTTGAGCAATCTACTCGCCTCGGCCTCCCAGCGTGCTAGGATTACAGGCATGAGCCACCGCACCCGGCCTTAGACTCATTATTTTTGTCCAGTTAGGTCAACCATTTTGGCAGGTGCTTCCAAGAACAAATTAGATTTTTCTTTACCTCTATATGATAAGCTTCTTTAAGAGATTCTACTTCTGCTGACAATTTCTTGATTTCTGCTTGCATTCTTGCTTCTAAATGAGCTTCACGTACTTGAGAAGCCCCCAATTCTTCAGCTAAATGGTTTCCACGAGCTTCCTTAAAAACGATATATTAAGTAAACGATATAAAACTTGTTTATTTGGTTATTATAGCTAAACCAATCTAGTCTAGTGCGTTAAGTGGTTAAATTTTTTATATTATATAAACACACATACTAAGTTAACTTATTAAATGGTATACTTTAAAATCTAAACATTTAAGAGACAAGTAATGGGAGAGATCAGTATATTGTTTGTTATCATAATAAAACAGATGTTCCCTAACCAATGCTTTCTGTGAAACCATAGGATGCTGAACTTTGGCAGGCAACAGTCTACTCTTAGGCATGCCCGTGCATTTTTACTCACCAGATATAGTTTGCTTATCAAGAGACAGTTGAGTTTTTAGCCAAATCTACTTATGTTAATTGTGCTTGTGATTTTAATTATGTAATTTTATTATATATTATGAACATTGGTGAAATATGCATGCAAAAGAAAAGGTTTTTATCTAAAAACAAAGTTGTATGTTTTGAAATAGCTCAATAAGTGAGTAACAAATATTTGCTACCCAACTAGAAGCACTCAAAATAGTTATAAAATATTGCAGAAGGCCCCATGAAAAATATAACAGATGTTATACTCTTGGGTACATATGTCTTTTAAGTCTTTCTCTACTTTTGTTTTGTTTGGTTGGTTTTTTGAGGCAGTGTCTTGCTCTGTCACCCGGCTAACGTAATGTGATATGATCATAGCTTGCTGCAGCTTTGAATTCCTGAGCTTAAGCAATCCTTCTGCCTCACCCTCCCGAGTAGCTTAGAGTACAAGCACAAGCCAGCATGCCCAGCTAATTTTTTAAATTTTTTTGTAGAGAGTGGGTCTTGCTATCTTACATGGGCTGGTCTCAAACTCATGGCCTCAAGTGACTCTCCCTCTTCAGCCTTTCACAGTGCTGGAATTACAGGTATAAGCCACTGTGTCTGGCTTTCCTCCACTTTTAAGAAACCAAAATTGGAAAGTGTAGATGATGGAATATAAGCATGGTTTATGCAAGAAATACTAGGTAAAATTCTAATCAAATGCTTCATACAAAAAAGAACAAAGGTTTGGCACTAAATAAAAAGATAAACATGTAACATATGAATGTATATTTAATTTTGAATTAAAATATAATATTCAAAAAACCATCAATTTAAATAATTCCCCACTTTAACTTACTTGTTTAAGTGAGCTTTGTTTATCAAATATAACCAACTGTACTTTTAGATAACAGATAAGGACTGAAATGAGATAAACGTAGATTGCTTCTCTTTTCCTAGTAGAACCCCAAACATATACCACTAATAAAAATTCCCTATGTATTCTTTACTAGTCTAAATATCCAGAAATATGAATAACAACATAGTTTTAACCCAAACTAAAGATAAAATATTTTAATTTAACTTCTATGTTGAATTAGTTAACCATATAGAAAGCAGAAAAATCGTAAGAATGTTTTTGGAACATCAATAGACACATTTTTCTCAAAGTCTAAGTAATTATCCAAGGTCAAACAAAGTCCTCAGTGATAAGCTACATTTTGGACCCAGGCTGCCTGGCTCAGGAATTCAAGTTATTAACCCCCTACACAGTATATTAGTATATTAGCTTGCTGTGTTAATTTTTTTCTTTTGTTCTTTTCTTTTTAGAGACAAGGCCTCACTCTGTCATATAAGCTGGAGTGCGGTGGCATGATCATAGATAATTGTAACCTTGAAATTATAACCTTGAAACTCCTGGGCTCAAGTGATCCTCCTGCTTCAGCCTCCCAAAGTGGTGGGATTACAGGTGTCAGTCACCATGCCTGGCCCTCCAATCTAAATATTTTAAGCCAAGTTGTTAAACTACAACCAAATACTGAGGAAATAAAATTTATATTAATTAGTACTTTTGTTTTTTAAAGGTACTTTACCTCCCCCAAGGGGTCTGAAGAATAGCTACGAATATAAAACAGTTATTCAAATAAGAGTTATTAGCTTCATATTTCTTAAAGTGAGAGCTTGAAGTCAGTTAAAAGTCTGAAAGTGCTTTATAATTCAGTTTACTGAGAATTAATTAGTTTGGCCAAAATTCAGTTCTGAAGGACTTCTTACTTATATTACAAAGTTATCTAAATATATAACACAGTTAATTTTTTTCTTTTTATGACTATGGTAAAATATACATAAAATTTACCATTTTAACCATAAATATATATTTCAGTGGTATTATGTACATTGTAGTGCAACACTGTTCATTTTTGCAAGAACTATATTCTACTATTGAAAAAAGTGAACACTAAAATTTTTAAGATTTTCAGTAACATAAAACTATTTAAAAATTGGAATTACTTTTTCTTTAGAGAGTTGCTTTATATCCTCCAGTTCACTAGAGAGCCTTTCTATTTCTCTCTGGGCTTGGACTTGCTGACGATGAGCCTCCAGCAATTCTGTATGAGAATTCTGCATCTGCTCCCGAGTTAGCCTCAATTCCTGCTCCAAATCTATGGCCTCCTTGTACTGAGTGGCAATGTACTGTTCCTGCTCTTTCACAACCTGAAAAGCACAAGATATTTGTAGGTTGCAAAATGAAAGATACATAGGAAACCTATTTCTTATTCTGATTTCTCTCTTAATAAGTGAATTCCCCCCCCAACTAAATCCCTGTGAAATTTAACATACAATGATTATTACCCATTGTGAAACTGATATTCAGAAAAAAAAATTTTTAATGACAAAAATACTGCAATAAATCTGGCATTCTTACTGACATATTTTACACTATTTTAATAAATACAAACTGTATAATCCTTTATCATTATGAATGTAACATTTATGACAGAATATATAATAATATAAAGAGAAAAGAGAAGTTGACATTTGATCATCCATGTCAAAGATAGAAAATATATTTGTATGGATAATGAAAATCCACCCTTAATCCACAGAGCTGGGTTAAAGTCAGGACCTCATTCTCTGCAAAAGTAAAACCTTGCTACTGGGGCTGCTACTTCTTCTGACATGTTTTTACATTACTCAGTTAAATTCCTAGTAACGTATTGCTTCTTAGAGGAAAAAAAATCAGTGAAAATCAGGTGGGTGAGTTAGGTTAGATGGTAGGTAATGACACTTCAGGGAAGAAAAAAAAGAAACCAGTACAAATCACTAGGGTCCTGATGTTTGGAGTGGAGGCCCAAGGTATAGCTGTGTTGTAAGTCAATATAAATCTCATGTAAATATTTTCAGTCAGTCCTCGTTAGGGAAATGACTGGGCTAGAAATTATTTTTTTCTCCACTGGGACACAAACATGCTCTCAGAGACCATACTTGATTTAAGTACATAATTCAACAAATAGTTATTCATGCTTACTATGTGATATGTACTGTTCTAGGCACTGAGGATACAGGAGTGAACAAAGAAAGATACCCTTTATGGTACCCTGATGTGGTTTATATTTTACAGGGTGAGAGACAGATAATCAGTTAATCAGACATAATCAAGAGCTATGTCTGAAGTTTTATTTATGTATTTATTTATGTATGTATTTATTTATTTTGAGACAGAGTCTCCCTTTGTTGCCCAGGCTAGATAGAGTGAGTGGCATGGCATCAGCCTAGCTCACAGCAACCTCAAACTCCTGGGCTCGAGCAATCCTGCTGCCTCAGCTTCCCAAGTAGCTGGGACTACAGGCATGAGCCACCATGCCTGGCTAATTTTTATCTAATATATATTAGTTGGCCATTAATAACTCTATTTTAGTAGAGACAGGGTCTCGCTCTACTCAGGCTGGTTTCCAACTCCTGAACTTTGAGCAATTCGCCTGCCTCGGCTCCCAGAGTGCTAGGATTACAGGTGTGAGCCACTCGCCCGACCTATGTCTCAATTTAATAAAGTTAAGCACTTAAAAACAAGAAAAAGTTATGTACATGAAAGCTCATAGAAGTAAATTCATTTTTTATTTTATTTATTTATTTTTTGAGACAGAGCCTTGCTCTGTTGCCTGGGCTAGACAGAGTGCCGCAGCATCAAGCTACCTCATAGAAGCTCAAACTCCTCCTGCCTCAGCCTCCCAAGTAGCTGAGACACAGACATGGCCACCATGCCTGGCTAATTTTGTTATATATTTTAGTTGTCCAGCCAGTTCTTTCTATTTTAGTAGAGATGGGTCTCACTCTTGCTCAGGCTGTCTTGAACTCCGATCTGAGCGATCCTCCCGCCTCGGCCTCCTAGAGTGCTAGAATTATAGGCGTGAGCCACACACCCAGTCCAAATTTACTTTTAAAAAGGCAAGTGGGTGGAATGGTTCACCAGTCAACACATACACAAACTAATGATATGAAATCATCAAACTTCATCTGACAATTCAAAGTACTTGCCTCAATTATGTACAATTTCATTTGTTATTCTCTCTGGGGAGTTCCTCAAGGTCAAAAGACTGGACCTTATTAATATCTATATCTTAACTTCAATTCTATTACATAGTAAGTGTCAATAATAACTGTACCAATGAGCATATATTGTGGATTTACTATGTGAAGCCATGCCAAGTCTATATTGCAAAGATAAATAAACATTTCCTTGCCTATTACTTAGACCATCAGAAATCCTTTAAAAGGTCAAAGAAGAAATAAGGTACCTGCATAACCAGCCTAAAAATACTCTTGGCACAGTTCCTGTTTATTAAACAACTGGTTTAAACATAAATCATTTACTCATCAAGAACTGTTCCTTAGTGAAAATATACATACACTCTCCATTTCTTTCATCTTTTGTGTTTCTTCAGTTTCTTTTTCAGTTGACTATCTCCTGTTCATTTTGTAGGATTATAAACTCTCAGACTGTCTGGCATTTTGCAATTTCATTCAAATTTCTATCTGAATTTTAACCAGATAAACAATATAATGTAACTAAGGAAAAATAATTTAATAATAACCATGTCCAAGTAAGTCAAGCCTTAAATGCTCATATCTAAAATACCTAAAAGCAAAATATAAAAATGTTTTTCTTAAGGCAACCTAAACTTGGAAATACACATAAGAATTGGCTTGGACGTCACCAAGATGCAGAATAGGACGCAACCCACACATATCTTTTGAAAAAGAACAATAACCCTGACCCATCCACAGTCACAAGTCTCTCTGCAGGAACCTTAAGATTCAGGTAGGAGTCTGTGAAACCTGGTAGAGCCCAAGACCTTGGAAGTCATTTGAGAGTGTAAATTGATACCTGATTCGCTGAGTTGCTCCTGGATTTAATCTGGAAACATTCCAGTCCCCCAAGGAGCTTGGCTACAGCCCTATTTGGCCTTGAGCCTACAAGCAAACCATCCATGAATGGATCCATGAGGAATGACCCACATAGTGCCTTGATAGGCAGGCTTGTCTGCCCGCTGACATTGGTCTCAGCAGTGAACCTGAAAGTTGCTCCAATCCCCTCCTCAGCTGAGGTAACAGCTCAGAGCTGCTCATACCAGGACCCAAAGGGACACTTGACCATATCTCACAGTCTGGCAGGGAGTCTGAATCTCCCTGACAGGCTTGCCACCTTCTGTCCCACAGCAGATCCTGAGAAGACAGCCTCAGCTCTGGGCCTACTCACTGCAAACAGGAAACTATTCAGTCTGTGCAGGGACTTGCTGGGAGACACACACCCCTTTGAGCCAACAAGACAAGCTCTCCAACCCTCTGTCTCACAGTAAGATCCTGCAAGGTCCCAGTCTCAGCTCTGGCCCTCCTTTTATTGAATATATGCAGGAAACTATCCTGTCATGCTGAGATCTACTGGAAAAGTATGCCTGTCTGAGCCAACAAGATGGCTTTTCAGCCTCTGTCCCACAGCAGATCACGAAGGAATCTAGTCCCAGCTTCAGACCTTCTTGCTGCAAGTTGGGGACCTAACCCATTGAGCTGAGACCTGCTGGGAGATGAGTACCTGATGAGCTGTCCAGCCTCCATTGTACAGAGATGCTGAGGGGACCAGAGCTGAACTGGGCCCCCTCCTGTTGCCGTCAGAGAACTGTCGTAACTATTTAGGACTTGCTAGGAGACAGGCATCCCTATGAACCAGAACTAGGCTCTCCAGCTTCTATTCCATAGCAATCCGAAAGGACTGGGTTAACTCAAGTCCCTATTGTTGTAGTTGGGGACCCATCTCACCTGTGAAGAGATCTGCTGGGAGGCATGCCAACTAGACCCACGATAAGCCTTCTAGATTGGGTACCAGGCCAGCATTCCCACACAGCCCTAGTACCCTCCTTGAGTGTTCCCCAGATCCACTGGGCCAGAAGCTGCCAACCTTGGAGCCCTTGCAAGTCTCACATCAAGCCTGGGCAATGTTCCCGCTAATGCTGGACAGCTATGGTGATCAACAGTCAGTTTGCTTAGAATTCCTGGAAAGACATTTGAAGATGGAGAGACACAAACAAAGCAGACTGTGAAGACTAAAATGAATACCTAATCTATCAATGTGCAGACATCACTGCACATCTACAAGCAGCAAAAACATTCAAGGAAATATGACCTCACCCAACAGACAAAATCAAGAACAGAAGACAAACCCTGAAGTGAGGAGACGTGTGATCTATCAAAGAATTCAAAATAGCTTTTAAGGAAGTTCACAAACTTCAAGAAAAGACAGAGAATCAATTCAGAAATTTATCAGAGAAATTTAATAGAGAGTGAATAATAAAAAAAAAAATCAAAAAATCTTGGAGTTGAAATACATAATGAAAATGAAAAATGCAATACAGAGCATCAAGAGAGAACCGATCAAACAGAAGAAAGAATCAGTGAGCTCAAAGACAGACTATTTGAAATATATAGCAAAGCTATCACTCAAAAGAGATAAAGACTTTCCAAGACAAATACACTGAGGAATTTAGCACTTTTCACTCTGTCATAGAAGAAAAATCAATGCAGAAAAAAGAATGAAAATGAATGAACAGGATCTTTGGGACAAAAATGAAGAGAAATATTTGGATTATTGGAGTTAGGACAGAACTGAGAAAGACAAAGGGGTAGAAAGGTTATTAAAGAAATAATAAATCAGTCTTGAGCAAAAAAAAAAAAAAAAAAAAAAAGAAAAAAAGACACTTTCCAAACCTGGAGAAAGATACAAATATGCACGTACAGAAAGGTCAAAGTCACCATCAGAGTCAA